ACGTCAGATATGTTCCTCATTTTTCCACTTAAAATATATTGTCTAGTATTTATTTGTCTGGTAACCATTCGGCTACCCTTGACGAAGACATGGTCCATGTTTAATAGCTATTTCACCGTATGTCCATCGGCATGTCCGTCGGCGTGTCCGTCAGCATGCCCGCCAGCATGTCCGTCAGTATTTATTTTTGAAACCGCAGCCTGCCAACTCGCGTCTGCACACACACTATAATTAGAATCACACATTGTTCTTATTGTTAATGTATACCAATAACGTTCATTCAACATTACAGAAATACACACATGTTTTGGTCTAATAAACTAATTGTGAGGAAGTCCTTATACACAAGCAAGAAAGTTAACTCAAGGTGCAAAGAGAAACAATGCAGTAGGCCTACTTGCCCCTGCTAAATGACTTCACGTATCAGCGTGCTCTTAAAGAATACTTTACCATATATTTTTCATATTAAATTTAAGGTTGAATCATAAAATTTAGGCAGTATTACAGAGGCTTCTTATTTACTGTTCCTTGGTCAATTGTCTTCCATATTGGTTTGTCAAATTTATCATGAAACAGTCAACAGAGGCATTCCGTTCATATTACTGAAATTGGGAATATTGTTAATTGTCACAGATCCCCCTAATCTTCCTCTGCTGTGTGCTGCTGCATCCCATCAGCACTTTGGAATTATTGGAATTAACCTCGGGGTTTCTCTGTGTATATGTGGCGGTGAAAAGCACTAGTATTGTCGTCAGTGTGTACAAAGTGTATGTTGACAAAGTCGACGTTGTTTTCATGTTGGTAGAATTACCGACTATGTGTTAGGCAAAAGGACACAAGTGCAACTAATATGACTTTTATTGTGGCAACGTTTTGCTCTCCAGGAGTTTCGTCAAACCTGACAAAGCTCCTGGAGCGCGAAACGTTGCCACAGTAAAATGTCACATTAGTTGCATTTGTGTCCTTTTACCTAACAAAGTCGACGTTAAAAATAATTAATTTCCCAACAGTAATATTCATCCTAATCGATGTAGGGAATCCAGCAGAGTCCAGCATTCACATGGGTGTCTACCGTAGCGTTTCTTGCCAGTGCTTAGGAAAATAGTTTCGGGAAACGTTACAGGAACTCGTAAGAAAATTGACGTAGCAAAATATGGATTTTATTGTGTTATGAAGTGAGTTTTGGCTCTCGTATATTCTTTAATCCATGGAATTTTCAGTAATATCTTTGTCATCAACAGCAACAGAGGCTACGTCTTAATCTCCTCCTGTTGTCACCATCAGCAGCAATATAAGCAGCAACAGTAATAGTAGCAACAGCTGCGTCTTAATCTCCTGTTGCACCATCACAGCAATAAAGCAGCAACGTAGTAGTAACAACAGCTGCGTCTTATCTCTCCTGTTGTCACCATCAGCAGCAATATAAGCAGCAACAGTAGTAGTAGCAACAGCTGCGTCTTAATCTCCTGTTGTCACCATCAGCAGCAATATAAGCAGCAACAGTAGTAGTAGCAATAGCTGCGTCTTAATCTCCTCCTGTTGTCAACATCAGCAGCAATAATAGCAGCAACTGTAGCGTCTAAATCTTCTCTTTTTGATTATTGTGTTATTAGCAGCTGATTCATCTTAATCTCCTCCATTTTTGTCAACATCAGCAACAGCGGATGTGTGTTACCCTATTCTTCAACCTCTTCATTAGTCACCGTCATCAACAGCAAATGCTAATCATCACCTTTCCCTATAGATCAAAATAAAATTCATGTATATATTTATGTATCTTCAAAAGGGCCCCTACAAGTGGTAGACTTTTTTTTTTTTTTGGGGGGGGGGGGCTTCCTTCAAACTTTCGTTAGGTTATTAGGTTAGGATCGGCTTCAAGTTTTCAAATCTGGATCACCTGCTTTTCAAAGCTGTGGCAACCGCAAATACTGGTGTGTGCAGAGACCATTCCATGCTTACTGAAAAGGGCCTGATAACTTCCAAAAGCCTCTCTTGCTTGGCTTCCTAATTTGACGAGGGTGTAAAGTGAAAGAGAGATGTGCACGTGTATCTTTCGCCAGTTTTATGTGCACAACTGGAATGGATGGCATCTCTGTGATCGCTTCAGATTTTTAGTGCCCATGTGTTTCGTTTAATCCAAGTTCGTGTTGTTACTGGACTGTATTGTCAGGTTGTCAGTTTTATTAAGCTGTGATACTGATATCCACTCAGTAACTAATTAATTCCTCCTCTGAGGGATTTATAGCATTAATGCTGACGCACAAGATGAAAGGATATTCCATAATTATAGTCTGTAGAGGTGCAAAATTAGAAAAAATAAATCTTGGGACACAGCAATTTTTGGAGAATTCCATTTCTGGAAGTCTTTAAACTTTAAGCGTTGGCAGTCTTTGCTATAAGACAGCTTGACATTCACTATGAGTTGTGTAAATTTTAATTTGCCAATTTTCTTAGGCATGCCAGAATGGGAACTTTTTTTTTCTTAACTGTTGTGATTTTAATTTGCACATAACCACCCCCCCCCCCCCCCTAGCCCAGCCCTCCTTCATCCGATTCACTTGAAATAGGGTCAGATTATAGGAATAATTGACAATGTGAAGGACCTTTAAAAAATTTGTTGAACCCATTTCCACATTCTGGAATGACTCGATAATTCCAAAAAGGTTAATGGCGCAAGACTGTCCTCATGATGCCAAAACCGTCCAATTATTAGCCCTCGTTTTCCTGTCCAATCTTAGATTTTCATTTATAACTTCAGAACTCCTTATCCAATCGGCTTCAACTATTACTAGGTGAAGGTTTGTGGAGCAGTTACATGTGCAGGTGACCTCAGCTCAGTGTTATATAGACCATTCCCAAAGTTGGTTTCCCAAGATACTTTAAGGAACTTCTGATCGGTTTTACATTTTTCAGCGTTCATGTATCCTGTTTAAAAGAAAGTTGGTATTGTTTATGGAGTGTGTGGAAGCCATTTTTATTCTAGTAATTGTGCAGTAATATTTTTTTTGCAATACGTAATTGGATTATGGTTCCTTAAAGGAAGTCTCTTGATGCTACTGAGGGGTTGCTGATCCAAGAAACTGGACCAACATTATATGATCCCTACGGGCATAACGCTCCTTCCTGCTTAAAATAAAACCATTATAAATGACATAAATTTTTAATTGATCTTTGATATCTCCTGTGAAATGTATGGCACTGTTTTAGGGTATTGGCTGTGTAGGTGCATTCCTTTGATTATAAATCTGTGCACTGACTGGGGAACGCGTATTCTGATTAGCTTTAAACTTTAGATCAATATATTTTAAAAGAATATTCGCCTTAATTTTAGATTGCGTAAGTTTTAATGTGCCAGTTTTAGTAATGATATTTGTTTCTGTGAAATAACTGAAGAATATTTCTTTTGATCGGAAATAGGTCAGTGTTTTATATTACTGGGTTGTCCTATATTTAATCTACATATGCTTACAACGTGTGTACTTCAGAGACCAGTGAGAAAATGTGTTATAAACCCAAAGTTTCAGTAAAATTCATTACTTAATTAAATGATAGTTATGACTCTTCCTCACTCCTAAAATATGTTTTATCTTCCTGACCAATGCACGAAATCACAGTTTCTGTATCTTCATCAACATTTAACAGTTCCTCAAAATACTGCTTCTTCCCGATACTTCCAACCTAAATTTGAAGCTACCCAAGGTTTTAGCTTCAGTAACCCTAATAGTTAAACTGTTCCACTCATCTACTACTCTATTTCCAAACCAATACTTTCCTATATCCTTTTTAAACCTAAACTTATCCAATTTAAATCTAGCACTGTTTCTATTGTATATACCGAGTTCCAGGGATCTGTCAAGGTAAAACCTTTCTCGGACTGTGGAGTGATCGAATATATCTAGTTATTTTCACTTACTTTTTACTTGAACTATAAACAAAAAGATTATACAATGGTAAAAATTACTCTCAGAGTGTGTCTATTCCATTCAGAGTAGATTTCAAGAATGCTCAGTTTTATCCAAAGGTACCACTTCACAGTTAGGTTTGGTAAGATTTATTAGGAAGCAAGACAAATGCACCTTGAAGCGTGTCTGCGTCACATGATGAGCCGCTACGGAGATGTTGGTTATCTGACCGATGCCGTATCTGGCTTACCCTTTTAAGACTTAAAGATAACAACATTTAATGTTGCATGAATGTCATTAGGTTTGACTTCCGTTACAGTCTTAACGGCGTCTGTTAGAGCGTAATGTTCAGTACATTCCCATGATGTTGCGTAAATGCTTATTCCTGATTTAGTGGAAGTAAATAGTCAGAAATAATTACACTGTTGCCATCGTCATACAAAATGACTTCTACCACACTTACCAAACCTACTGCCCCCATCCAACACGTATCCTACTCTGCCATTTACCACACTTTACCTCCTGCTACCACTACTACCCTACCTGCCACCATTCACCATCTCTCCATCGAAACCATCTATTCCTTCTACCACACTACCCTCACTCACCCTGCCACCACCACCACCGCAACCTCAATTCCTCCGCCACCACCACCTACCTACTCCACCTGCCACCACCACCATCTACTTCCTCTGCCACCCCCTACCACTCTACTTCCCCCTGCCACCACCACCACCACCACCATCTACTTCCTCCTGCCACCACCACCATCTACTTCCTCCTGCCGCCGCCACCACCACCATCGTCCACTTCCTCCTGAAGCCACCACCACCACCATTTACTTCCTCCTGCCGCCACCACCACCATCTACTTCCTCCTGCCAACAACACGTTACTTTTTGCCATCACCCATTCACCTAACCTTCTCTTGCCACCATCTCCTAACGTCGTCCTGGCACCACCCCCTCCCCTCCTTCCCTGAACTATCACACAGTAATTAGCGACCTAGTTGTGATTATCAGACAAGACGATCCAGTCCCTTTCCCTCCCTACATGAAAAAACAAGCAATATTCTACTATCTTACGCTTTCTTCTACAGGCAGCCCAGCGGGATCCTGAGAGGCGACTGAAGCAACCCTTGAGCTCCTGAAGTTACAGAGAGCGTGTGTGTGTGTGCGCGCGCGCGTGTGTGTGCAGTCCAGGAGGATTTGACGTTCTTGTCTGACAGAGGTAAGCTGTTCCTCTAGGGAGTCGCTTTTATCGACTGCTGGCTGCCACTGCCGCATATTGTGACTTGATGTTTACGGGACTGGCACTGCCGTATATTGCGACTTGATGTTTACTGGACCAACAAGCCGATAAACAGTATAAAAAGACTTGTAATGTGTACTTCAATACTGAGCCATTTTATGTCTGATAAATACCTCAGGTAACAACCTAAGATGAGTACTTTTTATGCCGTTAAGAGAGATATAACGCAATGAAAATAAAAATCACTAAATGAAATTTCATTTATATTTAAAAATTAGAAAGTTGAACGCCACGGCAGAATGAACAATGTATTCTAAATCGTCTTTAACAGTGTTAGATTATGTAAATTTATTCACACAGTTCTGTCAGGCTAAATGACAACTAACACTTTTTTCTTTGCTTGCTAGACAGCAGACTCTCTCAAAACAATGATTTACAAGTATTTTCTGGATGACGCTGATCATTCGTAAGTAAAGATATTAGATAAAAGGACACAAGTGCAAATAATGTAACAATAAAATGTCACATTAGTTGTACTTGTGTCCTCTTACGTTACATATCGTCGGTAATTCTACCAACATATATACAAATATTTCTATTAGTGGTTGGATTTGAGAAGGTCTGTTTCAGTGTTCCTCCTCTGTTATGTTTTTGTGTAGTATTAGCAGTAAAGATCTCGAGGTATACCGAGGGTCAGGAAGAACCGGGAAAGGAAATCACCTATATGGAGGTCACGTGTAAATTCACTCCTACAACCAGTCAACTCTCAGTTCTTTAAATATATCACAGTAAGATAAACTGTTAACTGTCCATGAGTAAGTCAGACTGTTACTGTTATTCATGAGTAACACAGACTGTTACACAGTTATTCATAAGTAACACGCACTTACAGTTATTCATGAGTAACTCAGACTGTTACAGTTATACATTATAATATGCTATAGTTAATATGTTTTTTTTTACTTTAAGGAGCACTGAAAGCAATGCATATATGTAATTTAATAAGCAGCTTCATTAACACACACCCATGTAAACACAAACCAAACCACGGGCGGGAATAGAACCCGCGATCAATCATAAAACTCCAGACCGACTAGCTAGCCACTGGGCCAGCTAGCTACAGTAAGATTCGTCCAACTAGATATATTTATACATCATTGGAAGGTTAGCAATCGTGTCATTACGATTTCCTGAGTCATAAACACAATCAAGCAGTTAAGGGCCTCTCTCGCATATTTAATCATACAAAGTCATACGCAAACTGCAATCTTGATTCCAATGTATTTAGCGACGAGATACTGACAAGTCTACCACTGTAATGTGCCTAGAAAGTGACCTACAAACACTTAGGCAATTTTGTGAAAAACATATCAGTGTGGAAGTTTATTAAGGTTATGATGTAGACATAAACTTTAACAAGTGTCTGTTTTGTGTTAACTATTTATTATACTTTGTAAGGTTTGCTCACAAAATATTTTTTATCTAATATCATAAAATTTACATTACTGTTATTGTCTCCAGACTTGAACTGAGTAGCATCTGTGTAGGATATGTGATAACTGTGTATGTGATAACTTATCAGTTTCATAAGATAAAATCTGTGCTCTAGATTTCGCCTCTTTTTCCTATGCTTTTCCTGTGCTTCTCCTAATGGCACAAAGACCTGTTTCACGTCTGTGTGTCACTTTTCACTGCTGTATGATACCATTTAACTATACTTTCATAGGTGAGTGAACAATATTTCTGTGATTATCGTTCACCCACGCCAGCTTCTCAGAACTTAATGGAAGCTACCTGGATGGGAGGGCTTCCTATCTCTCTCTCTCTCTCTCTCTCTCTCTCTCTCTGGGTCTCTCGAAGCTTATCGCTGGTTCAGTGTGGAAGTGCTGCTGTTGGTTCACTGATTCTTTCCTGATCTTCACTTTTAAGAATTCTTAAAAGGTTTTGTAAATCTTTAAACATAACTGGCGGTAACTCAATGTGTATAATAGTACTCTTGTGTTCTTGTGCGTTACATGTCCTAAGGATTTTAAAAAGAATCCATAAGTATGTCTTGTGAATGGTTACATGACATTTCTGTTATGATACCTCTGTCCAAAGCTTGTCTCTAAATACTCTATGTTGTGCGCTGTTGCAGTCAGGAAACCGGAATTACGCTCCTTAACATTGTAAATGGAACTTTCGTTTTAGGACCTGTGTGTGTCCATAGTAGCGTGTTTGACAGTCGCTTTTGTTCCATATTTGTTCTCGTTGGTTAAAGAGTTGACAGTCTTACAGCATTGGACATATTTTATATATATGTTGACCAGATTAGTATTATTATTATTGTAAAGATTCGCCGGTAATTTTCCCGGCCCGGGCCTTTTCCAAGTGGTGGCCCAGCCTTGGCTCCCTCTTTAGGGAGTGTCTGAGACCTAAGTCTCCCATGGAAGGAGGCATAAGTACCTCCTCATCTTTGGGACCAACTGTCCCCTCTGGTCTGCCATCCCCGCCCCAGGGGAGCTAATGGGAATGACAGTGTTTTGAGCTGTAAGCTCGGGCTCAGGCACCTACCCAACCCTAGAAGGGTTAGGCATGGTGTAGATTGTTGACCAGAGTGTACATAGTGCATATATTCAAACAGTCATTCTAACTCGTAAAAACGCAATACTATGTAAATATATAAAATGCGAGAGAGTACACTGGGTTTTGTTTACTAATAAGCACTATTTAATTCTTAATATAGATACAGATACAAACCATTTTAAGTAGTATTTATATTTGATTTTTCAACTCCCTGGATACATATTGAAAATTTATTAAATACTGAGGTTCACCCTTGGTGACAAAACATTATTCTTCAAGTACTCTTATTTCGGCCTACATACAGGTCTGTCATTGTGATTTGGAAGGAGGAATCCATATAAATCCAAGGCACTTGTGTAAATAAGTAATACCACTGCCTAAGGTAATTGCCTCCAACTTGATTAAACTGAATCCTGAGGAAACGTAATTTAGAACATAGGTGTGCTGTGGAGATCCTGATTTTACTCATTTAACTCTTTCTGGCCATCAGTCCATCCGTGTGTCCGTTTTCGTGTAAATAAGGCACATGTGCAACACTTGGGTATCTCTTTTCGTCCGAACGTTTTGCCTGTACAACTGGCTTCGGTTTCTAAAGCCAAAAGACATGTGGCCTAACTTTAACTAGTAGCAGTGTACTAGTGTGTTATTTTGTAATACGTGAAATGTATTAAAGGCAGATTTTTGTGTTGTATATATTGTTGCATATATTTTTATAAAGGTGAGTTTACCTGCCCTTCCTGGTAAACAGACTTAAAGTATTGACCAGTTGTTTTAGATTTTGTTTAGTTTACGAAGCATAGGGGCTTAGGGTGGCTTATTCTTAGATAACGTTATATATACCTCTATTCAAGGTATTTCATCCCCCCCCAAACTTCCATGTTAATTTCACAATACCTGTCACTGGCTTTCACATTTATGCCTGTTCCATTGAATCCACCATCACCGCCATCACTATCACTCTTACCACCACTACCACAATTATCACTATTATCACCTCCACACAACACTATTATCACCACTACTACAATTATCACTATTATCACCACCACCACAACTATCACTTATCGCTACCACTACTACAGTTATCACTAACACCACAACCTCACCCAAAATATCAGCTCCATTACTACCTTTACCACCTCCATCTCCCTCTTGTAATTACACCAGTAATACTTAAAAAAAAAATAATCGGAAATCCGATTGGCATTGTGAGTTCCCCCATCTGTGTAATCACTTTAAAATTATTTATGCTTTTCTAACAGATAGATTAAAGTTCTGGTCCCTTAATCTCCATGTCAAAGGTTCTCTCTGGGTCTCTGTCGCTGGCAAAATGTACATTGATATCTCATTTGTCAAGTGATAATGTTGTCATGATCCGAGATTGAACGAGGCTTGTGTGTCAGTGTTCGTACGTGGTGTTGTACATGTATGCCCTCGCTTCTCTGCGTTTAGTACAATGTACGATGAAAATAAATGGTATAAAATACTGACACAATGGAAACAAACACATATGCAGTTTAAGATCTGTTTGTGACTTGAAAAAGTCCACTGTGTGGGCGAAACGTTGTCAATAAAGGATCACATTAAACTGCAAATGTTTATGTTTCTACAATGTACGAGTTGTGTAGACAGCATATATTAGTTATAGCTTGTGTATAGCCTGTATTAGGTAATATGTATATAAACAGAAGTAGTATAGCCTTGTTCTTATAGGTGAAGTACGTTTTAAGATGCTAAATCATCTCTGTTATGTTAACCATACAAAGATCCCACTTCACCGTAGTTTAGCTTAATTTACTTGAGTGTGAGTGTGAGTGTGAGTGTGTGTGTGTGTGTGTGTGTGTGTGTGTGTGTGTGTGTGTGTATACTCACCAATTTGTACTCGCCTATTTGTGGTTGCAGGGGTCAAGACTCAGCTCCTGGCCCCGCCTCTTCACTGACCGCTACTACGTCCTCTCTCTCTCCCTGCTCTATGAGCTTTATCATACCTCCTTTTAAAACTATGTATGGTTCTTGCCTCCACTACATCACTTGCCAGACTGTTCCACTTAATGACAACTCTATGACTGAAGAAATACTTCCTAACATTCCTTTGACTCATCTGAGTCTTCAACTTCCAATCGTGACCCCTTCTCTCTGTGTCCCATCTCTGGAATATCCTGTGTCTGTCCACCGTATCTATTCCTCGCAGTATTTTGTATGTCGCTATCATGTCTCCCCTAATACAATACAATACAGTGACTGCAGCAATACACAAACAGAACACACTACGGTTCGACTTGGACTATTAATTACTTACACACAGTGTGACTAATAACACACAGTGTGACTAGTTAATAGTCCAGGTCGGACTGAAACATCGTCGTAAGTTTATTTCTCCTACGTACAGATTATTTGTGTATTTGAGATACGTT